AGGAAATTGTATTGTGATAAAAAAACTATCCTAATCTTTTCCCATTCATTACCATTTAGTGTGGATTCAGAAATGTCACTTATTTAACACATTCTGTGGGTTTCTGTAATTTCTTGTTTTGCCTAGGTCCTCAACTGCCCCTCCCCTTGCCTCCCATTCCTACAGTATTTGTGGCCTATTACAAAATAAGTGGTTCACTACATATTACAATTTGCCCAGTCACTAAAAGAATCACATCACATTTGGTGCTTTCAGGAGTTTACAGTTACTTGCAATTCTCATTTGATTCAATGTATGCATTTCTGTGCTGGTAAAGTCAAATTTCAAGCATTTTTATTGTTCATCTCACATTTTTTTATTTCCTTTAAAAGTAGTTGCAAATACATTTGTTATTATTTTACAGTTATTTTAAATGTTGTTTTATGCATTTTAAGTAATCTCGACATTTGGGAAAAAGTAAGATTTCATTTTCTCTTTCTGAGCAAGATATACCCTCAAGAACCATATTTCAGTGTAGTAATAGTACACTAGCTAGTAAGCTTAAATTCACAACACCAACCTGAATATAGGGTCTTTAACATGGCTTGAAATATCTTGTCTGGCCCTAAATATAATGCTCTGCAAATCTTCAAAATGTCAATGGCCAAAGTAGATGCCTTATTGATTTTTTTGTACTCAGCATGGAATTTCCAAAGTATGAAAGTAACTGACGAGCACAAGAGCCAGGGCACTTTTGAAGTCTTGCCTTCAGCCCTCACACAACATGAAACCTTACTGGAAGCAAGTAAGAATTTAGCCTGAGTAAGGGATGCATTAACTCATGTAGGAACTTCAGGATTCAGCCCCAGGTGAGAATTGAAGAGAAGAAATGATTTATTTATATTACAAACTTTGAATGTGATCAAATCATGGAACTGAAACAATGCAGTCAGAGCAGACTGAACACAGAAACATGTTGCTATATAGTCACATTTTTATGCTAGCATGATTCATACTTTGTTGTCTAGCTTTGTTATTGAATCCATAATTATGTCCATTATCAGTCAATTTATTTAAAAATTATTCCATATCAACATAGTGCTATTGCTTCTCTACACTCTTTTACTGAACTGTAACTTCATTAAAATGTTAATGCAGTGAGAAACAGTGCAGTAAGTACAGCAGACCTTACAATTCTCACTTTTCTATTGTGTAAACTCAATAATTCTCAGCAAAATATTGCTTCAGCACTCATCAGCAACTGAAAGTTCAGACACTTCATTACTTTAACAAAATATATCACACTACTTTCATACCCACCTACAAACTATAGCACAGATTGCTTACGCTAGCATATTGTTATCATCTAGTTATTTGAAAGTGTTTCTATGTCTGTTGTCTGACCATCCATCTGTCTAGAAGTCTGTTTGTTTAAGAACTCCTCCTAAATGATTAGAGACAGGACCACCAAATTTGGTATACCAAAACCTACAGCAAGACAATGGTTGGCTGTTTCAGGACAATGGGATGTTCATGGAATACGATTGTTTCTCATCAAATGGAGAGTGAGGGCTGTGATTGCAAGGATAGCTATACTTCACAATGACCTCAGGGAGGAAGCAAGCAAGTGTGCCTCTGCTGTCCTGAGAGCAACCACTGGCTGGGCAGTGCAGCCCCCACCATCCTGGCTTGAAGCAGCAGAGCAGTGTGGATCCCTGCCTCCCCAAGCTGGTCCTGGAAACAGCTGCTGTCCACCTTCATTTCCTGCCTTGGGACCCCCACCCCCACACAAACACTTCCCAATCTTGTGTCCTGACTCCTGCATAGCCCCCCGCTCCGATGCCTGCAATCCCATCCCCTGCTTTGAGCTCCTCCTCACTCCCAACCCTGATTCCTGCACGCACGCGCACACACACACACACACACACACACACACACACACACACACACACACACACACACACACACACACACACACACACACACTCCATTTCACCAGCCCCAGCCCTGAAGGATCCAAGCAATGACAGGTAAATCTTCTAGTAACAAAGGTCATAGCCAAATTAAAGGAATGAAGAACACTTGATGATGCAAGTTCCTTGATATTTTACAATCATATTTATTTGTTTACTTGCTAATTTTCAAACCTTGTTAACTCACATTGGTATTCCCAGTCATTGGTGGACAATAAATTGGATCCTATTGCAGAGTCATATACAGAATGCTATCATGATAATAATTCACAGTGCTAATGACCCTTCCAAAGCTAAGGATCTCAATGACTTCGGGGAGGAAGCTCTTTACAATAATTGGGAGGAAAAATGGGACACAGACACTATAAATTGCTCAGGTCATATGTCAAATCAAATGTGGCAGAGCCAAAAAAATTATAGCTACATCTTTAGGTCCCTACTACAGTCACAGTTCATTTGGATCAATTTCACAGTGATAGGATTTTAAAAACTGTAAATGTCATGATTTCAGCTGTTTCGATCTGAAATTTCACACTATTGTAATTGACTCAAAAAGGAGTTGGGATGTGATGGGCTGAATTACAGAAGCCCCCTTAAGATTCTCCTCTTGTGTGCTGATCATGCCACTGATATGCACCTTCCTGGCCTCTAGGGCTGTGTCCAGACTCCATGCCTCCTTCGACGGAGGCATGTAGATTAGCCACATCGGCAGAGGGAAATGAAGCCCCGC